TTTCTATAATTAGGATTTTGTGTCTTCGAGCTTATTTTTTGTCAAACTCAGAGGGTGGTTTTCGAAGTTTATGTTTTTGCCCAAAATTCTGAGTTTATTTTTGAAATTCAGAGTTTAATTTCGCAGTGTTTCCCATTAAAAATAAATAATATCCGGCTGTAAACGTATGATAGATAAAAAAAAAAATTAAACGCGCTTGTATAAATTAATATTTTTAAGCTGGATTTGGCGTTGGCGCCGTTGCCATGGTAATACTAATTTGTCCCACGACAAAAGTTGCACAAACGCGTTGCTTCGATGAACGTGGACAGCTTAAAATCAATAAACTCCTGGAGGCAGTCGCGGGAAAGCTCGTATTCATCCCATCCTATTCCATCAACCATAGCCTCCTATATACTGACAAAGCCTGGCAGATCGCCACGAGACGCGGCCGCCAAAATGGAAAAGGTAGAGCGACAGACAACGGATGAGAGGAGAGCCATGTGACTGGCGCCCCGCTGCGGCGAGACGCCGAAACACGCTTCTCCCCAGCGAACGAATGTGTTTCGGATCCTCGCCTTTGCAAAAGCTGTGCGCTTACGTCCAGGTTCCCCGAGAAATGGCTCTTTGATGCTCCGTGATACCAGATCCTCACGCTCCAAATCTGCTCCGTCGTCGAAATGCCAGGCTTTGTGAGAGGAGGCTATGCATGAACCCACCCCGCGGCCGCGCGAGGTGGAGTGGTAAAATAGAGGGATTACGGTCAGTGCGCGAACGATCTGGTGGAAGTTGTATATTTGTTTTGTGGTGATTATTGTATGCAAACGCATTGTATTTTGTTGTAACCTCTATAGTCCGTTTTATCGTGGGTAGCGCCTTGTTGAGAGCGAGAGAGAAAACGGGAAAGGACCACCGGCGCTTTCCCCCTTTCTGGTTGTGTAGAAAGAGTGAAAGTCCCGGGGATGAGAGGCTTGGCCGGTGTTGGGTGTCTGCAGCGCCCCAAATTCGTTCACGCTTTCTTCTTTGTTTCAAACTCCCAAACTTAATTAGAGCCATGGTCTTCGATGGCGACAGTTCCCCGGTCATCGGGACACCATTGCTGGGTGATAAGGTGCAGGAATAACGACAGATAGCGTCGAATACTTCCGAGGACTTATATGTAGCTTGCACAGAATCCGGCAAGGCGAGTGCGGCTGCAATGTTTTTTAAGCTCCATCGCTTTCCGCATGACTGGAAATGGTAAACCATTTATCAATTTTTGCTTGCAATGGGGGCCTATTTCACCGTAGCCATTTTTAGTAATCAACAAAGCGATACACGAAACGGGAACCTCGATTAACTTTTGTAAACACCCGGAGCTGCAACAGATCGTTTTGCTGCGCTGCTTTTTTCTTCCTGTCCGTGTTCTTATATTCCCATTTGTATTAACGACGAAGATGTTCTAGATGTACTTATATCGAACCGCAGAAAGCCTCAAAGCAGCCACTAATTATTTTACTGTTTGATGCAATATTTTGAGTACTCACCTCCCATTTCTATCGCTGGCACGTTCGCTGCCGCTGTTCCCCCCGTCGCTGCACTGACGGATGCCATGACTCGAACAAAGGAACTTACACACTGGGCTCGTAAACGCAGATCGCAACACACGAGACGAACCGTGCAGCGACTATCCAGCGTTTCAAAGCGCCCAATCAACAGAAACAACCCACCAGCGGCACTCCAAGGAGCGCTTTTGCCGGCTCTCTGGTAACACACAGAAGATCGCGATTCAGGAAAACCGATAGAACTACCATTTCAAAAAATTTCCAGCCTCACCCGGCGGCAGAAATGAGCCTTCAGCTAAGTGTTGTCGATGATAAAATCGGGTCAGTCATCACTGCAAATTATCAATATTAAGATATATATTGATACAAAATTTTACAAGCTCGAACAGCAGTTACCACGAGAATACTCGCACGCACCTTGCGAGCATACCCCATGTTCATCGGCGGTACAGCGTTCGGTGCGCGCTCCATTCACAAAATGTTCCGAGCACAGTCGAGAGGCTGGCGTTGAGGAAACGCCTTTTTCGGTTTGCGGACGCAATCCACTGCCGCCTGAAACTGGGGTCATGTGGAAAGCGTGGACATTGCAGCCGCTCTCGCCTTGCCGGATTCCTTGCAAGCTACATAGGTCCTCGGATAGTATTCGACGCTTTCTGTTTTTATTCGTGCTTCCTATGACCGAGAAATGGTTTCCCCATGACCGGGGAACTGTTGCCATCGAAGCCCGTAGCTCTAATTAAGTTTGTGAGTTTAAAACACAAAAGTAAGTGCGAACGAAGTTGGGGCACTGCAGACACCCAACACCGGCCAAGCCTCTCATCCGGGACTTTCACTCTTTCTAGACAACCAGAAAGGGGGAAAGCGCCGGTAGCCCTTTCTCCTTTTCTCTCTCGCCCTCTTTTAGTCCGTTGGAACCTAAGAACGAAGGGCGAGGGTAAGACGGGCCTGGGAGGAGGAAGCAGACGAAACGCTAAAGAGAGAAGGAGGTTTTCCCCTCTCTTCTCCAGCGTTCCGTCTGCTCCCTCCTCCCCGGCCCGTCTTACCCTCGCCCTTCGTTCTTAGGTTCCAACGGACTAAAAGGTTTTTACCTAAACCTGAAGGTGGTTGTGCTTTATAGGTGGCCTCTCTTTGTTTTTTTTGTGATGTGAGTGAGGGCAGAGCCTTTTATAGAGGCTCTAGGTGAGGGTTGTGCGCGCGCCCTTGAAAAACAGGATGTTCGGTGGTTTGGTGGCGGTTGCAGTTCTGCATATAAGGAGGTTGGTTGAACAAAATTATTAGCTGAGTTAGCTGGGTCTGTCCCTGTTACTTTATATTCCACTGTAAAGAAACAGTTTTCCTTCTTCTGCTTCAGTCTCGGGTTAAAGTCATCATGGAATAGAAAAGTTTTAACTGGCTCTCTTCCCCATTTTATGCAATCTCTATGGTAGATAGCTTTTAGTGTTACAGAAACAACCTCCCCTTCTTTTAAAGCACAGATAGTATGGCCCAAACTGGAAACCAAAACAGTGGCTTTCGTCGTCACTCAAAAGTACAATGGCCCGTTGTCCTGAATGAACCTTGTCGAGTTAAGCGATAATACCCCTTTTGACAATGGTCCGAGATTTATAAGATAACTGTGGAGACATCTTCCCAAGACCATGGGCCCTGTGTGCTGATCAAACTTACTTGTAAAATATTGTCTTTCTTTCTTTCTTTTTTAGGGGGGGGGGGGGGGGGGGGGGGAATCGGCACAGTAAAATTCGGAGTTTATCGGATAAATTGGAGATTACCAAAATTTTACCGGCGGGTGTTTTTCGCAGTTTTCCGGATTTATCAGAAAACATTGAACCTTACCTATAGGGAATCGGTGAGGGAATTGGTCCACAACGTGACGTTTATTTTCCCGCTAAATTTATCGAAAAATGCACGGACGGATGGACAAAAGTTTGGGTTTGGGGGCGGCGTTAAAAAGGCATCCCAGGCTTTAATGAATACAGACAATATTTAAAACAACGCTCGAATGTAACTGGAGGTGGAAAAGGAACCCCCACGAAGGCACAGAACGACAGCCGATGTTACATGCATATGTCGTTTTAAAATTGCGCCTGTATTTATTTCCTCTCCGCGTTCTCGTTATAGAACTATTTTCGTTCACATATTGTGTAGATATTGCTGAATGTTAATTAATTCGTTAGAAAACATGATTGCGCTTTGAAGACGGGGACATAGGAAGGACAGACACCACAGAGCGCTCTGTGGTGTCTGTCCTTCCTATGTCCCCGTCTTCAAAGCGCAATCATGTTTTCTAACCTACCATACCAACTTGCCCAACAATCAGCACTTGTTAATTAATTCCTTATTTAAGTCGTTTTTTTTTTGTTTTCTTTTTTACAGCGGAGCTGTTAAGGGCTAGTTTCCCCAGTATCGTGTCCGTCAGAAAACAAATGATGACACGAAACTCTGTACAGCTACCGTCATCTATGAACGATGGCGGCAACCAGACAAACGGCAAGCCGATTTGTTGGTTTCCGCCGCCGCTCATAGGTGGCGGTATCTGTCCAGCCTTTCCACTCTGGCTTGCCGACTTTCGGCCGGCCATTACTTCATTCCCACCAGGGATGGGCAAAATACATGCAAATATGTATTGAAATACAAATACAAAATACTTCGTCAAAAATGTATTTAATTACAAATCTAATTACATTTCCAGAAAAGCATTTAAGTACAAGATACAAATACAACCAAATGTACTTGGTGTCCTCCAAATACTTTTCCAAATACATTCATCAAAATGTGTGTCAGCGACTTCAGGGCACCTGCAACGGGTTTCTGGGTATCTCATTTTAATTTTGCATCGCACACTCGGGAGTTAGTGTGCGAGGCTCTAGTAACTTAATAGAAATATAATCAAAAAAATGTAATCAGGTTGGACGTAATAGGTGAAAAAAGTACAGATCTTCAAGCAGCTTTTTTTGTCGATTACATTTTGATATAGACCAACAAAGAACCGAGACGACCAAGACGCGCAGCACTATAGCTAGATATTTTTTTTATTGTTGCAATTCGCAACAGCTATTCTTGCCCTGGACTAGCACCGTAATCACAAAGTCACTATACGCTCGTGCTTGATTGAGAGACACTGCATTCGGTGCAGAACATAGTTTTCTTCCTGCTCTGGACAGTGACAATAAATTTGAGGGATGTATATTCGCCCACAAAATTGTATTTAATTACAATTGTATTTGAAATACCCGCGTTTTAGTATATAAATACACACAACAAATACATTACCCAATTTGTAATTAAATACAAATGCAAAATACACAAAGTATTTGAAATACGTATTTCAAATACTTGTATTTGAAATACTGCCCCTCCCTGAGTCCCACCATAGTACTGCTTCGCTGGTCTTTCGTCTTCACCACAATAAAAAGGCTGTTTTTTTTTTTAAATTCGGAATTAAGTTTTGTTTTAGGTTTAGATTCTGTTTTGTTTCAGACTGCTTCAGAGAGGTGAAGAAGACATTTGGCCGCCTGGACATCACTGTGAACAACGCTGGGTTTGCGGTCGAGTCGCGTTGGAGAAAGATCTTCGAAATCAACACGGTAAGCAGCGATTTAACCATATCAGTATATAGTAATCACCAGAAGACAGTCGAAGCATATGATAAGGTTTCACACCTCATGTCCAATTCAACATTCGGGGATAGGGCTTCAACATTCGTGGGTAAGAAAATGATCGTAATTAAATCTCAAATGATCAAAGCAGTATTATGACGTCATTAAACACTTTATCGGTAATCTCAGATATAATTATACCCTGGAAGTGGCCTCGTAAATATATACAGTTTCGGTAAGGTCCACGCCTAATAAAATTGACTTGTTGTTGGTTTTCAATACCCAGATGGCCGTTTACTTTGGTACTCTGCTCGCGTTAAAGTACATGGGAAAAGATCATGGAGGTGACGGCGGATTCGTTATTAACATCGCGTCAATCGCAGGTAAGTGGTGCCTATATGTGAGTAGTTTTAACTTTTAAGGCGACATTGCCGTGTGAATTTTGATTCCCGGTGTAAACTTTATAATTATAAAAAATGAGCATATTAATTTACAGCGTGCGCTTATCTGTTGGAATAGATATGATTAGGCTGTTGTTTTCCCTTGTGAATCGGCAACTCGGGCGTTAAATGTAGTGTTTTCTTTTTCACCAGCACTTGCGTTCAACTGACCACTTCTCTTCTAGTAGGAATGTATATAGCAAATTGACTTTACGTTCTTTTTTGCCTACCAAGCTACATAAGACCCCTTTTCCAGCGCTTGTCGTGTACACTTCTCACTCGTCCTTCGTCTAATTTTTGCGCTTTTTTTTGGTTGTAATGCATCACCAACTCACCCAAGTTATGACTCGTGTACAAGCTACATAGAATTGCGTGAAGGTCGCTACCCTCGAGATCATGAAATAACTCTCTCCCATAGCACTAGAGTGCTTCGCATAGAAGGGCGCTTTTTTGCGGTCTGTCAAAAACAAATAAAGATAGTGAAATGCATCGACAACCAACAGATAAGGCGAAACATGCTTTTGTGAAGACACCTAAAAACCCCAGGGTTTTCAGGGCAGAAGTTCCCCTGGGTTTTTACCTTAAAATCCCTTAGAAACCCGCAGCGAAAACCCCTAGATCCTCCCCTAGAATTTCCCCTAGACTAGGGGACGATCCCTATAGTTTTGGAAACCTGCACCGACACAGAAGTTGATCTGCAGAAATCAAAACAAAAAATCAAGAACTAGTTCTTTTGTGTTTTTGTTTTTCTCTTTCATAATAAAGTGTTGTGTTTTTAAAATTACGAAAACAAACGTGCCATTTTCACCTAGTGCTCTCTGTAGTGCCTAACGGCCCTGAGAGTGAATAGGGAAGTGTCGTAGACCGTTTTCGCCGTCCCTGAACGCTCTCCGCAACTAGCCACGACACCCGGAACTCTACAGTCAAGGCCATCAGCGCGCAAATGCAGTAGCGGCTTCTTCGTGGCGGAGGGCTTAGCGGAGGGGGAAACGCGGTCTACGAAAACTCCCTAATAGGGAGTTTTCGTAGATGGTTTTCGCCGACCCGCAACGCTCTCCGCAACCCGCCACGACACCCGGAACTCCACAGTCAAGGCCATCTGCGCGCAGAAGCAGTAGCGGCTTCTTCGTGGCGGAGGGCTGAGCGGAGGGAGAAACGCGGTCTACGAAAACTCCCTAATAGGGAGTTTTCGTAGATGGTTTTTGCCGACCCGCAACGCTCTCCGCAACCCGCCACGACACCCGGAACTCCACAGTCAAGGCCATCTGCGCGCAGGCGCAGTAAGCGGCTTCTTTGTGGCGGAGGGCTTAGCGGAGGGGGAAACGCGGTCTACGAAAACTCCCTAATAGGGAGTTTTCGTATATGGTTTTCGCCGACCCGCAACGCTCTCCGCAACCCGCCACGACACCCGGAACTCTACAGTCAAGGCCATCTGCGCGCAGGAGCAGTAGCGGCTTCTTCGTGGCGGAGGGCTTAGCGGAGGGGGAAACGCGGTCTACGAAAACTCCCTAATAGGGAGTTTTCGTAGCTGGTTTTCGCCGACCCGCAACGCTGTCCGCAACCCGCCACGACACCCGGAACTCTACAGTCAAGGCCATCTGCGCGCAGGAGCAGTAGCGGCTTCTTCGTGGCGGAGGGCTTAGCGGAGGGGGAAACGCGGTCTACGAAAACTCCCTAATAGGGAGTTTTCGTAGATGGTTTTCGCCGACCCGCAACGCTCTCCGCAACCCGCCACGACACCCGGAACTCTACAGTCGAGGCCATCTGCGCGCAGGAGCAGTAGCGGCTTCTTCGTGGCGGAGGGCTTAGCAGAGGGGGAAACGCGGTCTACGAAAACTCTCTAATAGGGAGTTTTCGTAGATGGTTTTCGCCGACCCGCAACGCTCTCCGCAACCCGCCACGACACCCGGAACTCCACAGTCAAGGCCATCTGCGCGCAGGCGCAGTAAGCGGCTTCTTCGTGGCGGAGGGCTTAGCGGAGGGGGAAATGCGGTCTACGAAAACTCCCTAATAGGGAGTTTTCGTAGATGGTTTTCGCCGACCCGCAACGCTCTCCGCAACCCGCCACGACACCCGGAACTCTACAGTCAAGGCCATCTGCGCGCAGGAGCAGTAGCGGCTTCTTCGTGGCGGAGGGCTTAGCGGAGGGGAAACGCGGTCTACGAAAACTCTCTAATAGGGAGTTTTCGTAGATGGTTTTCGCCGACCCGCAACGCTCTCCGCAACCCGCCACGACACCCGGAACTCTACAGTCGAGGCCATCTGCGCGCAGGCACAGTAAGCGGCTTCTTCGTGGCGGAGGGCTTAGCGGAGGGGGAAATGCGGTCTACCAAAACTCCCTAATAGGGAGTTTTCGTAGATGGTTTTCGCCGACCCGCAACGCTCTCCGCAACCCGCCACGACACCCGGAACTCTACAGTCAAGGCCATCTGCGCGCAAGAGCAGTAGCGGCTTCTTCGTGGCGGAGGGCATAGCGGAGGGGGAAACGCGGTCTACGAAAACTCCCTAATAGGGAGTTGTCGTAGATGGTTTTTGCCGACCCGCAACGCTCTCCGCAACCCGCCACGACACCCGGAACTCTACAGTCAAGGCCATCTGCGCGCAGGAGCAGTAGCGGCTTCTTCGTGGCGGACGGCTGAGCGGAGGGGGAAACGAAAACTCTCTAATAGGGAGTTTTCGTAGATGGTTTTCGCCGACCCGCAACGCTCTCCGCAACCCGCCACGACACCCGGAACTCTACAGTCAAGGCCATCTGCGGGCAGGAGCAGTAGCGGCTCTTCGTGGCGGACGGCTGAGCGGAGGGGGAAACGCGGTCTACGAAAATTCCCTAATAGGGAGTTTTCGTAGATGGTTTTCGCCGACCCACAACGCTCTCCGCAACCCGCCACGAACCCCGAAACTCCACAGTCAAGGCCATCTGCGCGCAGGAGCAGTAGCGGCTTCTTCGTGGCGGAGGGCTTAGCGGGGGGGGGGGGGGGAAACGCGGTTTACGAAAACTCCCTAACAGGAAGTTTTCGTAGACGGTTTTCGCCGACCCGCAACGCTCTCCGCAACCCGCCACGACACACGGAACTCTACAGTCAAGGCCATCTGCGCGCAAGCGCAGTAAGCGGCTTCTTCGTGGCGGAGGGTTTAGCGGAGGGGGAAACGCGGTCTACGAAAACTCCCTAATAGGGAGTTTTCGTAGATGGTTTTCGCCGACCCGCAACGCTCTCCGCAACCCGCCACGAGACCCGGAACTCTACAGTCGAGGCCATCTGCGCGCAGGAGCAGTAGCGGCTTCTTCGTGGCGGAGGGCTTAGCGGAGGGGGAAACGCGGTCTACGAAAATTCCCTAATAGGGAGTTTTCGTAGATGGTTTTCGCCGACCCACAACGCTCTCCGCAACCCGCCACGAACCCCGAAACTCCACAGTCAAGGCCATCTGCGGCAGGAGCAGTAGCGGCTTCTTCGTGGCGGAGGGCTTAGCGGGGGGGGGGGGGGGGGGGGGGAACGCGGTCTACGAAAACTCCCTAACAGGAAGTTTTCGTAGACGGTTTTCGCCGACCCGCAACGCTCTCCGCAACCCGCCACGACACACGGAACTCTACAGTCAAGGCCATCTGCGCGCAAGCGCAGTAAGCGGCTTCTTCGTGGCGGAGGGTTTAGCGGAGGGGGAAACGCGGTCTACGAAAACTCCCTAATAGGGAGTTTTCGTAGATGGTTTTCGCCGACCCGCAACGCTCTCCGCAACCCGCCACGACACCCGGAATTCCACATTCAAGGCCATCTGCGCGCAGGAGCAGTAGCGGCTTCTTCGTGGCGGACGGCTGAGCGGAGGGGGAAACGCGGTCTACGAAAATTCCCTAATAGGGAGTTTTCGTAGATGGTTTTCGCCGACCCACAACACTCTCCGCAAACCGCCACGACACCCGGAACTCCACGGTCAAGGCCATCTGCGCGCAGGAGCGGTAGCGACTCCATCATGGCGGACGGCTGAGCGGATGGGGAAACGTGGTCTACGACAACTCCCTAATAGGGAGTTTTCGTAGATGGTTTTCGCCGACCCGCAACGCTCTCCGCAACCCGCCACGACACCCGGAACTCTACAGTCAAGGCCATCAGCGCGCAAGCGCAGTAGCGGCTTCTTCGTGGCGGAGGGCTTAGCGGAGGGGGAAATGCGGTCTACGAAAACTCCCTAATAGGGAGTCTTCGTAGATGGTTTTCGCCAACCCGCAACGCTCTCCGCAACTCGCCACGAACCCCGAAACTCTACAGTCAAGGCCATCTGCGCGCAGGAGCAGTAGCGGCTTCTTTGTGGCGGAGGGCTGAGCGGAGGGGGAAACGCGGTCTACGAAAACTTCCTAATAGGGAGTTTTCGTAAATGGTTTTCGCCGACCCGCAACGCTCTCCGCAACCCGCCACGACACCCGGAATTCCACATTCAAGGCCATCTGCGCGCAGGAGCAGTAGCGGCTTCTTCGTGGCGGACGGCTGAGCGGGGGGGGAAACGCGGTCTACGAAAATTCCCTAATAGGGAGTTTTCGTAGATGGTTTTCGCCGACCCACAACACTCTCCGCAACCCGCCACGACACCCGGAACTCCACAGTCAAGGCCATCTGCGCGCAGGAGCGGTAGCGACTCCATCGTGGCGGACGGCTGAGCGGATGGGGAAACGTGGTCTACGACAACTCCCTAATAGGGAGTTTTCGTAGATGGTTTTCGCCGACCCGCAACGCTCTCCGCAACCCGCCACGACACCCGGAACTCTACAGTCAAGGCCATCAGCGCGCAAGCGCAGTAGCGGCTTCTTCGTGGCGGAGGGCTTAGCGGAGGGGGAAATGCGGTCTACGAAAACTCCCTAATAGGGAGTTTTCGTAGATGGTTTTCGCCGACCCACAACGCTCTCCGCAACCCGCCACGACACCCGGAACTCTACAGTCAAGGTCATCTGCGCGCAAGCG